GGGCCGGGCCCGGCCGGCGCAGCGCTGGCGGAGGGCCGGCTCTGCCTCTCCCTTCCACCCAAGGACACGAGTACAAACACCTCTGCCCCGGGATGGCTCCTGCGCACGCAGCCGCCCGCCGGGGGTGGGGAGAGGAGGACGGAACCACCAAAAAAGGCAGAGAACGAGCCGCGGGCCCCGCGCCCGCCGTCGCCCCGCAGCCCCTCGCCCGCTGCGTGCGGGGCTCGGGGGTACGACGGGGGAGCCCTCCCCACAGCCCCTCCGCCGCTGCCGGGGCCAGTGGGCGGACAGCGGCCGCCGTGCCCCCGCCCCGGCGCGGAGCGGGGCCGGGCCGCGGCCCCGGCGCGGCCGCCCCCGGCCCGCCGCGCTGCCTCACCTGCGCCGGGCCCGCCGCGCCCGCCGGCCCCGCTCGCTCCGCACCAAACTTTTTTTTCCCCTTTCTCCGTGTTTCGTTGCCCTCGGAGTGACGCGGGCGGGCGCTGATTGGCGGAGCGCAGGCAGGGAGGCCGCGGGGAGCGGGAGGCGGCGCTACGGCGCGCGAGTAATTATGGCACGGCGACGGCGGCGACGTGAACCACAGAATGCAATTTAAAGGGACAGCGGCCCGCCCCGCCGCCGCCGCGCTCGCCTCAGGTCACCCCTGCGGGCGGGGGGGCGGCGGGGCGAGCGGGCAGCGGCCGCCCTCCTGCCCCACAAATAAACTCATTTTGCTGTAAAATACCCGTGAAGGCGCTCCCTCTGCCCTTCGGGTCCCTGAAGGGAAGGTCTCTCCTGGCGGGGCTCCCTACGGGGCTCAGGGCGCTGTGCGGGCTCGGTCCTCAGGCCTCTCGCCCTGTGGGAAGGCAGCGGTGGCCTTGGAGTCTCCTTAATTATGATGTCACCTGCTTGTGTTTTCTTCTCTCCTTGTGGGGCTTTGAGACAATCCACTACAGCTTCTTTACATGCACACCATTTTCATCTCATACCCGATACATAAAGATATGTTTTACTTTTTTTTTTTTTTTTAAATACATTCTCCCCACTTGTCACAGCCCTTACCATGCAGGGAGGTTTTAAAGGTGAGATTTAAGGATGATGACTGGCTTGATGCCGATATGGAGTACATGAATACATGAATACTTCAGGGACATGAAACAAGCCAAATAAAAGGAGAATTTTATCTGTGTTAGGAGAGAGGAATGGGCCAAGGCTAGAGCAGCTGGCAGGAGGTGAGTAGAGTTTACACTTTTGGAGGAGGGAAGGAAGAGTGTGCAGGTGTGCAGCCAGAGAAGCTGATGCTGGGTAAAACATGTTCCCATTTCATACAATCACAGAATGTACTGAGCTGGAATGGACCCATCAGGATCATTGATTTCCTAGAGGTACTGCAAAGAGATTTAAAATTTGGGGTCTTGTTTTGAGCAGAGGAAAGCATTGCAAACACATAAATATTTCAGCAAAGATAAAATCCAAGCAGAGGCTTCTCATTGCTAGAAGCTTGCTATCACCCATGTTGAGAGCTGAGTAGGTAGATCCATAAACCTGGAAAAAGCACTAAAAGGGAAGAAAACACCTTGTTTGTTTGTTTTGAATATCAGAGCTTGGATTAACACTAGAAAATGCTGGTGCAACCAGCATTTAAGTGCTAGCATAGCTTTACAGCTATTTTGGTAGAGATTATTCAGTCTTGGCTGTCTTTGCTGATGCAATCAGTTTTCCAAATGCCAGGTTGCATGAGCATAAGATGACCTGCATTGCATGTGGGTATCACAGCATTCACCACAACATTATTTGGAGCACTTTCATGGTCTTGGCAGTAATCATAAGGAGCTGCAGGGAGTGATGATTGCATTCCTCCCAGCCTCTCCATGATAATCTCTTTTTAAAATGATTTTTTTTAACCTTGAATTAATTCCCTCTGGTTGTTCTCGGACTGCTTTCTTTGTGTCAAGTTTCATCTCATCATCGGAAATAAAAATGCAGAATAGTAGGGCACAACATCCTCAGTGTTCAGGAAAAGGCCAGCTGACTGTTCTGCAGTTGTGAGTGACCAGCACAGCAGCTGGCAGAACAGCAGCGTCAATACGAGGGAAATGCAAACACTGAACAAGACCCACACCTCCCGCCAGGAGTTACTGACCAGCGACACATGGTGCAACAAATGTTAAGTTGTGGCATCAGATGTCAAGGGGGAGCAGCAGAATGTTCAAATGTGATCTTACTCAAGTTGCGGGCGACGCTCGTCAGTTCTCAAGTGCTGAAAAGAGAAAACTCAGTTACAATAATGCTGGAGTAAGTGGGGGTTTTGGAGCATTCAGAATCACTATGTCTGGTACAGTCAAAAGCTGCCACAGCTCAGAAGAGGCAAACAACCTCTAGGAAAATAGGGAACACAAAGTTTTGTGCCATTTGCATTTAAAAAAACGCCGGTAGTCAAGCTATCTCTGAGGAAGAAAAGTCCCAAACGAGATGGCCAGGTTTATTCTTGGGGTAGAATAAAGGATGCATTTAAAAATTAAATGTACGTGTTGTTCCACTGTGAATGGAAACCATAATATTGAAGCAATAGTGTTCAGTTTTCTTATTTGAGGATCTAGGGACTGAAAGGCTAAAAAACCTTGCTGAAGTCATATAGGCTAAGAATTAAAAGCGAAGTGTATAATCAGAGAAATGGCTTAAATGTTAACCACCCAGAGAAGGTCATCCTTGGCTTTGAAATCAGATGAAGAAGTCAAAAGTGATTCTGAACCAGCAGCTGCAAACAGAATCCTGTTTTCTGTGGACCACTGCAGAGAAGGAGCTGGAGGCTATTGGTCCACCTGAGGTTGATCAGAATAGTTTTTATTTTTAAGAGTGCACAAATGCTCAGTAGGGCACAGGACTGTGACTAGGGCACAGCATGGGGAGCCTGATATTCAGTGGGATGTTCTTTAAGGAACAACTTCATTCTACCAGGCATCATTTTGCTTTGACAGAGAAATCCAAAAGAAACTCCAAACAATTAGGCAAGGGATACCAGTCCAAGCTGAAACACCCAGGAGAGAGGTGAAAGGTTTCCCAGCTGTGCCAGTGATTTGATGATGTATGGCAAAATGGTGAGTGGCAATCAGTGAACATTACTTCCTCTTCTGTAACGTCACAACTGGAACGGTGTTTATTCGCCTTGACCTACATTACTCAGATCTGCTTTCCTATATTAATGCTCTCATCACCTTCATTTCCCAGCACAACTTATTTTCACGGTTTTAAGGACTATCTATTCATATACCTCTTTAGAAAATATGGACACAATTTTTCTAAAGAGGTTTCTTCTGATTTTTACTCCCTTCTTCCAAATCCATTTAATCTATCTGCTAACACAAAGGACCTTTTCCTTTGGCTCCTTTTATGTTTGCTTCTGCTATAGTGGCTTGTTATTTCTTTTGCTAAAGATTTAAAAGTCACTAGAGGAATCTTAGTAATGTATTCATTTTGAGGTAGATTTATCTTCAGAGCTGGTAAATGGGAAGTCTCTTCTTCACCTCAGTGGGCTTTGGATCTGGTGTTAAGTGCTATCATCATTTCAGTTCTAATCTTGTTGTTTGGGGCCCAGTGTGCAGCTCCTGACTGCTGAGATTTTCACCATAGGTTTATTGAGAACAGAATCAGCTCCTGCTTCCTGAGAGACAGACTATAAAAATACAAAAGAAATAAGCACAAGGTTCTCTTGAACAAGTGAATCTTAATTTTTCTTTTATTTGATTCTGAGTCTCACTGGATTTTTTTTTTTATCCACAGGTACTTTGACCCCTGTTCTAAGCCTTATTCTAATAGGATGAGCTGGAGTTTCAGCTACCCAGTCCTGTTGGAAATTGGGCCCAGCAGTTATTTGGCAGTGGCCTTGATGAGCAGCATTGCCAGCTTTCCATTGCAATGCTTACATTCAGAGATTTGCAGAATTAGAGTCCAAATTCTGCTTGTATTTGCAAGCCCAGAATGCCACTGACTTCAAGGGGGTTGTAGGATTTTAGCCAAGAGCAGAAATTTGCCCAGGATTTTTTCAGACTCCCTCATGCTTCTGTTTATATGATATTACCATCAAGCTCTATTAGCATGCTCCATGATGCATTTTACTTTTAAATTACATAAAGGATATTTACTGTGCTGATGCTACATAGTTTGCAAGAAAGATGCACATGTGGAAATGAAAAAACATCAATTACCATCAGGATTTCCAGCTTTCAGCATTCATTTTCCAAAACAGCTCAGGGACTATTTCCCATAAAAAAAAAAAATAAAGCAGAAATGAAAATCCAATTTCTTGGCATTTACGTATGGCATTCTGGAGCCTTGCTCATCAAGTCTGTTGTGAAAATGGTTGGAATAAAAACCCTCATATTGTTCAAAACTTTAATACTCTGCTTTTGTTTTCTGTATAGTGGTTTCCAAATCAGAGACATGAGTCCATCCCTAAAAATAACAAAATGTTTTTCTGCCTCTCAGAAGATGGGAGAAAAAAATAATCTGGTGAAAACTGGGTGATCATCAGGGATAATAGATAAAAACACAGGCAGAGGTTGAGAATTAATGGATGAAACCTGTGAAATCAGGCAAGTGGGATGCCAGGCATCAGACAATGCCAGTGGAGCCCGGTCAGCGCTGCCCGGCCCGCAGGGCTGGCCCCGCTCAGGGCCAGCAGCTCCTGGCTGCCCTTGGAGCCGCTGAAGCCGAGAGCGATCCTGCTG